TTATAGCTCCAACATTTTGAAGAACACGAAGATTCTTATAACTCATTATAATACCATGGAATCTATTAGAAAGGTGCAAATGAAAAGTGACAGTTTAAACAATAATATTCCAATAGTCCATCTGGTAACAATTTTTAATCATTTGGCAGGAAGGGGAGGGGAAGTGGGGGAGGGGGAAGTGACCCCTACACTCTGACATCACTTCTATGAAAAGGTAATGCACCATTATTGTGAAAAATTAAAAAGAAAATTACATAGACCTAACCTCAAAATAATAACATTTATCTCTCTCCGGCAGGTAGGAGAGCGGGAAGGGGGAGCAGGGGTATAGTTATAGGGGATAACAACTGTATGGTTTTCTGGGTCCTCATGTATTTTTGGGTGGTAAAAAAATAACCACAACCTAACCTAACCTAAGTCAACTGAAAGTATTTCTGGGTGAAAAATATATAATAATCATTTCTTTATTTTTTGTAAACATTATTTATTAAGAGAGTATAAGACCACAGAAAAATAAAAATACCAAAGAAGTATAATAATGTGACACTAGTCATTGACATGGTCTTACGTCTTTGTCGCACTTACACAAAATTATGTATGCTATCCATCGTTCACAGTAATATTTCATTTGTTTTTCCATGTACTACCCATTTATAGGTTATAATAGTTTTTTATTATTTTCTCGAAAACAGTGCATTACCTTTTAATGCCAGTGGTATTGTTATAATTGGGGACCAAATCTCTACCAAATACAACACATTCTTTAGCTTAAAATATGTTGTGAACAATAAACATCAATTAAATAATAAAAAAGGCGGACGGGTTGGATTTACAATCGGTTGGCAGGAATTAGGGGAGTAAGGTTTGGCAAAATATACAACTATGGTTATGTGATATTGTGCTAAGACAATGTTGAAAAGTGAACCAGTTAACAAGTTAAATTAATACAGCTACTTACTCTTTATCAAACTTTCCTATTTTATAATCTAATAATTTTTTTAAAGATTCTTTAAGGTTTCCTAAACACCACGGTTGTAGTGCTAAATTTTGAGTCACTTTTTTTTCAATGACACAAGAATTTTGGTCATTAGCCAATTTTCTTAATTCTTTTAATTCATATTTTATAATGGTTGACATTATTCACAGAGTACCTTTGTATAAACCGAAAACATTATTTAAATCTCGTTTAATTTAACAACGTTAGTTTATCAATATTTTTTTCCTAGTTTGGCAAACCCTATCTACATGCTTACAATGTTTACAAGTAAATGTCAGTGTCAGATGTCAGATTACGTCAGATTACTTGGTTTCGTCTATGCATAGACTTAAGGGCTTAAGGCCTGTGCACACTTTGATTAGTGATTAGTGCACGTGCTCAGTGATTAGGAGTAAACACGTGTGGACAGCGATTGATTAGTGCAAGTGATTAGTAACCTGTGTAGTACAGTGATTAGAAGCGTACATACTTGCTGGTCGACGGCTGAGAACTGAATTTACTAAGCACACCCACTAAACAAAATTGGCCACTACTTACACAAATCACCTGCACTCTCACTAATCAAAGTGAAAACAGGCGTTGACACGATCAAAGTCTACTTTCTCAAAGTAACTTTGACAAATAGCTTTGATCAAGGTTCACTTTGATACCGGTTGACACGTACATAGTTGACTTGGATCAGTTAATTCATTTTTACCGTCCTTCGAGAGTTACAACACCTATAAAAATATGACTGACGAGACAAATTTGTTACTAGATAGTGTAGTAATTATAGCAGACTTGTTAATACAAGAGCTGTTACGGCCTACGGCTGCTCCAGCAAGGGTCAAATCCTCCGGGGCCCATTCAGCAGAAGACTTCACGAGCAGACGCAGGTCGGGCCTCAATATGGCCGCGTGGAATTTCCTATCACAATAAACTATATGGAAAATGTTGTATCCTACTACAATTGAAGGGGAGGCTAATCAAATAGATATTACTTACCTGTATGTGAGGCGACTGCCTTCTCAAGGCTCGGTCAGGCCGTAGGTGTGTATGTGTCGAGTATAGTGGTGTTTTATGGTGTTGGTAATGATAGACCTGACGGGACCTTCGAAGTCGGCAGCAGACCGGACTTCGGCGCCACTCCAAATTGTGGTAATCTCCCGTGGCGTCACCCACCGTCACTTTCTTCCTTCTTCCCTATGACAGTCTATTAACTATACTTCCAGACGCCACTAACACTAAACTAAAGCGTAACACACCTCTAATACCGAAAACGTATCCGAAATATATCAAAGGCCGCACGAGCAATTAATATTGTCAAATCACTTATATACGCTATCAAATTAGAATAACCGAATTCGCGGTAAATTAGGCGCGCGTAACACGCAATTCAGACTTTGATCGCAGTCAATGTTAACTTCCTACCAATTTGTCAGCCCAGCATCGAATTCTAGACTTAACAAAGAAACATTCGTCGTGGCAATATCTGCTAACAAAACCGACTCCAAAAATGGAAGTTTCCCGGGTGACTTTAGAACGTGCTCTCGATAGCACCGTACTGTAGCGACTCTGTTGCACTCACGTTCTGACCTCGCGCCCTTCTACCCGACGACGCACAGAAGTGGGGCCAAGGTGACCTTTACAAGTCAGCGGGCGGAACGAGTGCGAATGAAAATTTCAAAAGTTAATTGTTTGGCCTAAACAAGAGCTAAAACGAGTAAAGAATAGAAAAACCCGCGTATGGAGAATTTGGACTCGCTCCTAGATTCTACATCGCAATGAAATGGGAGCATATTAATATTATTTCTTAAATTTTTCTTGGGTTCATCTATGTCAAGAGTTCTCGCCATGCACTGCAACGCCGCAATTCTGGCATCCTTGTTCTTGTATTCTTTGAGCCTCACGACCCAAATAATTATTTCTGCTTCATATAATTCTACGAATTTGAAAGTATCCCGCTTAGTCCACTTTCTTTTATTGCGAAATGCTATTTTTTTACATCTAACGCCATTTTGTTTCGTTTTTTGACATCACAGTTGGCTTGAGAAGTAGAACACAGTCCAAATCCACTTTGATTAATGCCCACATCAAACTGTGCTTTGATTGCTCGTTTACACGATCAAAGTAGCGTCAAAGAAGTCATCAAAATCACTTTGTCAAAGCAGACTTGATCGTGCCAACACGTTTTTGGCATATATTTTCGTCAATATATTCTAAATTTCTGGGTCTATATTAGACATGAAGCGTATAATATATACATGCAAACGAGACTAGGTTGCACCTGTTACAACTTTTAAAATACTTGATCCACCCAGTCTCACTGTGCCCACATGTCGCACTGCACCCGCGGACCGCTAGAATTGAAAAAGTAGAAGTAAGTTTGCTTTCCCGCTCACTTGTATTTGCCTAAATCATTATAACAAACTAAATTTTCAAATTAAGAAATATCAAACGACTTTTCATAACAGCAAAACTTTAACAATAAATGGCGAAATCGGCCGCAAAGCGGGTTTAAATGACGTCATCTTAAAAATGTTTACCAGAATACAAAACAATTTCTATTATCTATTTAATTTATGAATGACACTTACACCTACACTTCGCTGAGTGAAAAAGAGACAGGCAGCATATTGACAGTTCAATGTCGAATATAACCATATTTGTATAATCAATAAAACATATAGACGCTCTGGGAAGCTCCTCTATTTTCTATGCTCAAAGCCTCAGACTAATATGATGTTTGTCACAAAGACGTTTGACATTACCATTCTTTTATTAAGATATTTGGTTTGGATCTTGTTTTTTAAGCCATGTCTTCATTTTATTCGGTATCTTCGTTTTATGGATTTTCAGTATGGTGTTAATAATCCTTTATAGTTGCTGTTTCATATGTCGATGCGTTTTATTGTGTAGTTTTTGGAAGATTTTGACGGTAACTTGAGCCAGCAGCACTTGGCGATAGTATCTCAAGGCACTTAAGCAGACAGACACCTTACGTTAAGTTTCATATAACACTTCGGAGCACTTGTTTCACTGTTTCCACTTATAGTTCACATGATTTTGTATATTAAATTGCATTTAATATACAAAATCGCACTACATTTACATATCGAAATCCACTACAAACCATTATTTAAACAGTATTACAGGAGCAACAATCTACCACCGATCAAGTTCTTGCCCTCTTACTCTCAAAGACATGTAAAGATATTTATATTAACATGTCTGTGAGAGGGTTATTAATACAATAAATAAGAGTGCTTAATATTCTAACATATTTATTTGTCTATGGTTTGTGTGTAATGCAATGTTTATTTAGCTCGTAGACAGAGATTTAGCAATGGTCTAAAGCTGAAACCTGAAATAATATGGCTTGTAGGGATGGGCAAGTGAAAAAAAAATCTATCGATATTTATTGTCTCGATTTATTTAAATAGTATCGTTAATTATCGCGCGAGATATTACAATATCATGTTTTGAATGATATTGTCAGGCGAGGGCCAAATTTTTACTGGACGTTTTGACGACGAAAAAAAACAACAGCACATGAATGCCTTTGTTGCATAATTTTTTTGTGTGATAAATTACATTGTCTATTCGTTATTAAATAAATATGTATATCAGTTAAATATATATTGAAATTTATACGAATTACGGGGAGTAGGGCTGTATGACAAATAAAATTTTTGTTTCAGTTTCTCTTTATTAAAGTTTTTTTTTTATATTATGTGTATGCTTTTAGTAAGTTTTAATTTTAAACTGTGATTTAACAATGTAAAGAAATTCGATACTCTAAAATAAATATCGAACATCGATTTATTTCGATTAAAAATATCGATAATTTTTAAGCAAGCCTAATGGCTTATATGACAAGCATCTACGCCAAAAATCTTGTTAAAAAACCTGAAATAATGTAATAATATTTTTATTTAAAATTACAATTACACATTTATTAAATACATCATTAGTATTTCCTATTTGTATATAAGTAATCATAGTGTGATAAACGCGAAGCAAAATGCGGAATCTTACAAATCAGTTATTGTTATTTAAAAAATACATTCATGAATTAAATAGGTAATGTGGAAATAAACACTAACCCCACTTCAATGCGAAATTTTATTATATAGCATATCATATCTAGTAATATCTTTTTCAGTTTTCGGGCAGTAATTCAAAGCAGATGTTATTCAAGGCCTACAAGTTTTCCTGATTATTTTCAGAATCCAATATTTAGAAAAGAAGATCAATTAAAATTGATCGAAAACAATGAACTTTCTAAATTAGCCTCCGTTCCCATAAAACCTCCGGCTGTCTATGAAACTTCATCTGTATATCACGATCCACTTGTAAAGTAAGGAAATAAGAAATTTTAGATTTTTCACAATTTTGAAATTTCCTGTCTCTTGTTAACTCATATTATATTTCAGTAAAGTCATAAACCACGTTATGGAAGAGGGTAAAAAAAAATTAGCGCGCAGTTTAGTTGAAAAAGCTTTTGAAAATATTAAGCGAATACAAATCGAACGATATCACCTAGCGACAACACCAGAGCAGAAGTCTAAAATAGTATTAAATCCCAAAGAAATCTTGCATACTGCTATTGAAAATTGTAAGCCTTTGCTTCAGCTTACACCTATTAAACGTGGAGGCATAACATACCAGGTTTGTATTATGTATTTGACAGCAACTTTTTTAATCATTGCATAAATAACACTGTATGGAAGCGATTGTAAGTGCTGATTTACCATGTGCTCGGTAGTCAGGGAAAACGTTAGGAAACTTTTTTATTTGTATGCACGGCAGACTAGTTGCTCCCTAACCCTCCCTTTCAGAAATATGATTAGATCTGTATCTAGCCTGCTCACCTTGGCTCCTACTTTCCGGAATGTATCCTTGGAGTACACTGACCACCTTCAGTTATTGGGGATTGAATTTTCTCCGAACCTAAACTATGGGCGGTTCATTGAGTCCAGAGCCAAAGCAGCTGCAAGGAAACTTGGTGTCTTTGCAAGGGTGCGGCGGTACTTCACGCCGGGGCAGCTTCTTACCTTATATAAAGCACAAGTCCGGTCATTCATGGAGTACTGCTGTCACATATGGTATGGTGCTGCAAAATACCACCTTGCAGCATTGGACTCAGTGGAGACACATGCTAAGAGACTCATTGGTGACCTTGATTTGGCATTCAAGGATCCAAGGTCCATCTTTCCGTCTGAGTACAATCTGGGCGTCTTCAAGGCAAGAGTGAATAGGCTTTTGTTACAATAAGACAGTGCGATTTACCATCTAAGGCTACATCACCACTTACCACCAGGTGGGATTGTGGTCAAGCACTGGCTTATAATAAGTAAAAAAAAAGCTGTGGGCATGTAAAAGCTGTATCTGATTTATAAAGTTAATTTTTGTCTATCTTTTTCAAAAAGTCATTCCAAATGAAAGCAAAACAGTCTTAATTGTAGTGTTCATTGTTCATTGTAATTGTGTCTGCATTTGCATAAAGTATTTTAACTTGGATGTCCAACAATCATAGTTCAATATTGAATGATTTTTTTTATTTTAAAACAATAAATATCTATACATTAACATATAATATAAAATTGAAGTGTCTGTCAAAATGGCTTCTGTTAAGCTCAGGGTTATTTGCATGTTATAACGACTGAAATAACCATTTTAAATTTTTTTGCTATCTTACTGTTTCTCTGGAGCTAACCCTCAGAAGTACTGAACTGATTGTGATGAAACTTAACATGATGGAGATCAAAACCATGGGCCGAATTACAGTTTTGTACAGCCACAGTATGATTTTTGGCGTCAGCCCCCATCTTTTGCCAATTATGTTTCTGCATTGCCAGAAAGTTATACTAGCTTTGTTGATTTTGTTTTCTATGTGTTTATTCCAATTAAGTTTGCTGTCCAAGGTAAGACCTAAATATTTTACCTCAGAGGATAGCTGGAGTTTTGTGCTGAAAAGACTTGGGAGATGATAGTTATTCAGCATTCGTTTTTGTGCGAACACTACTAGAACCGTTTTATTAGGATTGACAGTTAAGTCGTATTCCCTGCATCATCTCTCCATTATACGGAGAGCCGCTTGGGCCAGGTCGCACACTATGCTTGCTGTCTTCCAAGAGATCAGTATTGTCAGGTCATCAGCATAACCTACTGTGTAGAAGTGATTGGCATTTAATTTGCTGATGAGTTCATTAATGACCATATTCCACAGGAGAGGTGAGAGAACCCCGCCCTGCGGGCAGCCTTTCTTAATTTTGATTGGTTGAGATTCACCAGCAATCTTTATTATTCGTGTACTGAGCATGTATACTATCTATACTGAGTGCACCTTTTATACTGGAGAAATTCGTTCTGCAAAAGCACCTCCTATATCTATGAAGGAACCTAGACATATTTCTTTGTTTTGGATGGCCTTTTCAATCTTAGTAATTACCTGGTGAAATGCCGATTCTGTTGATTTGCCTAGACTGTAGGCATGTTGCTTGTCGTGTACTCGTAAGTTCATTAGTGCTGACCCCCTTAACTCCCTTTCACACATCGTATCCATCGTCTTTAGGAGAAAAAATGTGAGGCTAATAGGCCTGTAGGATTTTGGGTCCGTGTAGTCGCTCTTACCTGGTTTGGGTATGTATGTGACTTTCACTTCCCTCCATCCCCTAGGAACATATTTTAGAGCCAGACAGGCTCGCATTATGGCAGTAAGTCTGACTATTAGGGCTTTACCCCCCCCCCCCCCCCACTGTAGGAGTGCCAGAAATATGCCGTTAGGTCCTGCCGCCTTATAGGGGAGAAAACTGTGAATGGCCCAATGGATTTTGTCCATTGTTACCACTCTCTGTACTAAATTCCATTCTTCTGTTGTTGGTGTCAGTATGGCGTCATGCCGGTTTGCCTCCTGAGTTACGCAGCAACCTGGGAAGTGCGTTTCAATTAGGATGCGTTGGGCTTCATCCGGCGATGTAGAGTAACTACCGTCGGGTTTCTTTAGAGAGATGGATCCCGACGTGTTTTGTTTAGCTAGAATATTCCTTATCCTATTTGCTTGTTCACAGGTTTCTACGTTGCCACAGAATTTACGCCACCCTGTCGAGCGTCGATACCTAATACATTTTTTGTATTCGGACTTAGCTTTCTTGTATAGTAGCCAGTCTTCATTCATTGAGGTATTCATGGCTCTATTTAGGGCTTTTCTTACCTTCTTACGTTTTCTATCTAGTTCTTTACCCCACCACGGTTGATGATGACGGTTGACGGTGGACATGATTCATGGTAGCTATCTATCATGGCTTTAGTAACAGCTGCTACCTGTTCTTCTAGGAGTGACTGATCTGCTATAGTATTCGTCCCCTCAAAACCCGCGAGAAAAGACGTCAGCCTATTAAGGTATTTTGTTTTATCCGTCTTGCGGGGATTTCTCCATGGTTGGGTAGCGGGGATATCGACCTGTAGTGCGAAGCAGATCCATCTATGATCTGAGCACGAGGCCTCTCTCGACACATGCCATCCCGTAATTAGTTTAGCTGCTCCTTCTGTTGCAAGTGTGAGGTCGATTATTGTGCGACAACGTTTGTTTATGAAAGTTGGTTCAGAACCTGTGTTTAAAATGGTTAGGTTAGTGCTAAATAGATATTGAACTAACACCTTACCTCGTTCATTCGGTCTTTCCATTCCCCAGAGGGGATGATGTGCATTGGAGTCTGTCCCGATCACAACCTCTAGTCCGGTCCTCTCGCAGAAGTTCACCAGCCTCACGAGGTCATGAGGGGGAGGAGTGTAACTTCCTCCGGCATGTAGACCAAGGCGACGACTAATCTTCTCTCCTGTGTATATTGTATTGCCACGGCATACATGTCTCTAGAACAGAAATCTGTTAATGGTTGTGCACAGATATCTTTAGTAGTATAAATACACGCTCTAGGCTTGTGTTCAGAGCTGTAGAATAGCTTACCTTTTAGGTTGTTTAGGCCTTTAATTTTACCAGCCCCAACCCACGGCTCCTGGACTAAGGCTAAGGCCGTCCTTTGAACCTCCAACCACTTGCGTAATTGAGCTGACGCAGTTTCGCTGTGGTGGAGGTTGGCCTGCACTAGGCTAGTTATGGACGAAGGGCACGCCATCATTGATCGCGTCCTCCCCGTCCCCGCCCAAAAATAACCCTGCCAGCAGATCTCGGGTTTCATCGTCAGCCACTGAGCCGGAAGTGGTCGGCAAAATGCAGTCCTCTTCGTCACTCAGTGAGCTGCCGCTGAGCCCGACTTCTACTGGGGGCTTCGGTTCAATTGTGCAGGCCGTTTTCTCACTGGACTTGGCCTCCAGTGATTCCACTGTACCGGTAGCCGTAGCTCCGGTATCCATGACTTCCGCGTAATTTCCTGCCTCTTTGCTTGGTAGAGTATCAAAGAACTTACCTCCACGACCCTGGAATTTTACGTATACCGCCCCGCATACACATGCGAGACGGCGTCCGGTTTTCATCAGATGATCCTCCGGCACCGAAGCAACGAGGAACCACCCGTCCGTCTGCTTGTCTGCCTTGATTAACAGCCAGTCCCTGATGTTAACCCAGCGGTTCTGGTACGCCAGCACACGACCGATGTCGCGTGAGTCTTTCCAAGCACCCTGGGCATCAGGGATAAGGATACCACATTTGACTCTTTGTGGTATCTTCGACTGTTTCTTTATGGTCAGTGAGGTGTTGGATTTAAGGTCGAGGGTAGCAATATTCCCCTTCAACCAATCCAGGGCCCGCTGATCGTTGCACCACAGTTTCAGGACACCCTCCGTGTAAACGGGTTTGCCTCTAAAAACTGGGCCCGACGCATCAGGGTCCTGGCTACTCCAGGCCTCGTTGATCATTTTCCTCGATATTGCCACGCGGATGTCGTCAGCTACTTCCTTCGTAATGTGACCTGAACGCGCACACGTTAAGGCCACACCCAAATCTGCTTTAGCAGCGGAAGCGTAGCTTGTTCTTGCAGCCTTTGGTTGCTGTTCGAGTCGCACTTTTTTGTGCTCACCTCTCGGCGAGGTGGACTCTTCCAGCATCCTTTTGGCTGCCCTTTCCTTCTTTCCAGGGCGTTTGGCCGCTCGCTGCTTCCTGGCGGATAACTTAGACCTGGTTCCCGCGGCCGCGACTTCCACTTAGGCTGGATTTTTATCCTTCCCAGCTTCAGCGCGGCTACTGGTTCCAGCCCCAAGCACCTTAGTCACAGTAGCTTGCCCAGCCTCCCTGGTTTTAGTTATAGAAGCAGCCAGTGTGGCTCGTTCTCTTCGGCCTTTTTCCCGCTGCTTTTTGTTCTTATTTTTGGCCTTTCCACTACTGCCTGCAGGGATAGACCCTCCTGATGATCCGTCAGGTCGGCAAATCACCTTTTTGGGTGCCTTGCCTTTCCCCTTACGGCTCAACACTTGCCAGGCAGCAGAGAAAAGGTCGTCCGTTCTTTGTGGCTCCGCAGGAGTTTTGTTACTCGCGGGCTCTTGTTCCTTTTTCTCGTCCAGCTCCTCAGGTTTGGAACTGGTTTTGGAAACGTCCAGCACGGAAGTTGTCCCTTTAGTGGGGCAACCTACGCTGGACGGTACTGTCGTCGGTTTAATGGCGGTTCCCTCTTGTTCTTTGGTGTCTCTGGTAATCACCTCTGACACCTCTCCCTCTTTCTTATTGGGCCTCAAATTGTCCATTAGATTCGTGTTTTAAAATTCGTCCCCCCCGCTTTTCACCCTCCATGGAGCCCGCACCTTTGGGAACGCCCTACTTTAAAAAAAGAATTTCAGGCGTTAGGAGTACCGGGAGAATATAGGGACGCGAAGTTGGCTCACAGCGCGACATCGGGAGCTCGATCCAGCTGGTAAATGGGGCTGACAAGGCCCATCCCCACTACCCGAATAACTGTCACTTGCTCCGTCAGCATGGCCTTTACCACCACCCAGCCCCTTTTCAGGAAAACTAGGCAGCCCCCATATCCCTTCGCCTGTGACCCTTTGACGGGGCGCCCGGCCATTTCCCTACTTGTAGCTAGCAAATAGGGCCACCGTTTAGCCTGAAATCCGGACCAAAGAGGGCGTGTTGCCTTTCGCCACTATATACCCCAGCGACGATCGGCTCAAACCTCCAGGACTCCTTCGTCCCCGCGTATGGCGCTCGACTGCGCAGGTCCTAGCGCAGGTGGGTGTGATAGTCCACCGGATACACCCACTCTCTCCGGCGGAACCGTCCCCTCCTCCTTTCTCATCCGGGCTTGGGATCGGCAATGGTGGATTTTTTATTGACTTAATAGTTCTTTAATTTTTTAATTTTTAAACCACTACCCCATATTTGTGCAATATAGTTTTAATAATAGCAATAAACTTAGTTTAAAGTAGTTTTTCAATAGTTGAACTGCTTGCTCAAAATCCACTAATATAGATCTGCAAGTGTTCTATGTAAACAAAGTCGTGGGTAAAATCTAATTTGTTAATAAAATATACACAACATAATCTATGTTACCATGTTATAGTTATTAATAAATATATGACATATGTATGTACACAAAAAAGAATAGACGTGACTAATAAACATTGTACATATTAATTTACATCTCATATCTTTTAAAGTGTTCACAACTAATCTTTTAAAGGCTTAATTATTATATTCTGGTTCTAGGAAAATAATTACCTTACACCACTACAACTACGTATCCCCCTATTTAGCAATTTATAGGGAAAGCCTGGCGGCAGGCAGTAACTTTTGAAATGCTGTAATGATGATGATGATACTGAAATTTATCTTTCAGATAAGTAATTGCAGATAGTTAATCTGCAATAGGGAGGAAAACAAGAAAAACTAATAATTATGCCTCCGATTTACAATGAACCACTAATGATGTTGTACACGCCCTTAGCTGCCCCAATCAAGGATGACGGGATTAGGGCCCATGAGTAATCCCATCGACGAGCAGCAGAGGGACGGGGCCAGAATATGGCCACGTGGAATTTCCTAATTACAATAAACAATATGGGAGGAAACTACAAACACATAGTACTTACCATTATCCGAAGCTAACTTCGCACCAAGGCTTGGGCAGGCCGTGAGTGTGTGTAATAGTGGATGGCGAGTAGTGTACAGTGGGGTGTGAATGTGTGGGGCCTTGTCAAGCATAGGCGACTAGCAGCGGCCGAGTTCCAGGCTGCTCCATAATGCTGCACCGCTTCAGACTGCTTCGGCGCCGGACCACTTCTTCGTTCGTCACGATGACAGTCCATTAACTCTATCGTACGATTAACTAACTTACAGAAGCCACTAACTCTCGTTTGTTATAAGGTTAACGCACAAAAAAAACACGGAGTGTCCGGATCAAGGTCACTACCGTTTCGCGTAGCAACAGTTATTTCTAGAATATCAAAGGCCGCACTAGCTAATATTGCCGAGTGCACTTATGCAGATTCTGAGTCATACACAATGAGTCCCTGGGAAGCTCTCCAGCAAAGAATGCGCGTCAAACACAAATCCTAGACCGTATATTTACTGGCCGCGCCTAATTATTCCGAGTTCCCGACAAAAATGACAGCGTGCGGTCCCAAGCACAGCTGGCAGACGACTCTTTCGCCTTTACGCGTTCTCAACCCACCGCTCGGCCGACGTCAAAACCGGTATGGCACCGAGGCGCGCGCCCTCTCGCGTTAGTTCCTGAAATTAGCGTTTGGCGCGAACAGATGTTGTTGGAATTTTGGAAACATGTTTTATATAATATTTATTAAGTATATAAATAGGTCATGAATATATTTAAAGAGTAAAAGAAAGGTAAAAATTTAATCTGATTTTCATCCTCTTCTGTTACAGGTACCAGGCCCAATAACGGAAAAAAGGTCTTTGTTTTTAGCAATAAAGTGGCTTTTAGAGGCTGCAAATGAAAAGGAAAGAACTGTTCATTTTCCTGAACAATTTGCATGGGAATTATTAGATGCAGCTAATAATACAGGCAAAGTAGTAAAACGAAAGCAAGATCTCCACCGACAGTGTGAGGCTAATAGGGCATATGCTCATTACAGATGGCAATAAAATTGTATTTATCTAAACTTTTTAATAGTTTAGTTAAGATCCAAGTACCAGTAATTTCTGTAAGTCTGATGTCAATCATCAGTAGATAAAACACTGTAAATTAATGCTAGATTTTACAATAAATTAAATAATGATTATAAATTTGTTTTAATATTAATATCAATTATCTTATCACTCAAGAAAAACTGGTTCAGCATCATTTTATATTCACTCATTAGCATAACACACAACACTACTGCCCATTGCAAGTCTACTGATGAACATAGAACTCTCTAAAGGAATGTCACAAAATGCGATCCTTAACCATCCTCATCTATCAAGTCTCTTACCCGATCGTCATTCCAATGTGGGTACACTGCTTACTTGTGGCGGGGTGTGCGGCTCGCCCGTCTGTGGACTCCCTGCGTCCCATTCGTTGTTGTCCTAACAGTGTTTGTAACTTTGATAAAATGTGTTAGTACCTAACTTAAAAACGTCTTCAAAATATTTGGCGGATGTAACGTCACCCTGTGTTACACCATTATGCAGGTGGATATGTTTCCTACTCTGGTTCTGTACTCGGTTGGCCATGGTAGCCATACTGTACAAGCATTTCAGCCATAGATTATTGTATATAACTTCAGCACTTCGATATACCTACAGTCAACTCGGAACCGCTGAAGGGATTGTAGCACCGCCCAAATTACGACGAAATTAAACCCTTTTCATAGTCCACAACAGTGGTAGATCCACGCGGCAGCTTTTGCTGTCGCATGGATGGGCCGTACCACGACCTCATAGAATACCAGCGTGAAGAGGTTTCTGCGTTGCGCTTGGTGAGTGCAGGTGGCTGGAGGCCCAATTCCCCCCCCGCCCATCAACATGATAGTGGAATTAAATAAAAGACTACCCCAGGAGGGTACCAGCACCCCTGGAGAATCCCTCTCTGAGCATCCACGACCAAACTACTCCACTCCTGAGCGTCCATCTAGAGACGGCGAAGCCCGCCTTGCTCTTTTTAACCGAGACTCAGGTATCCTCTCCGGCTGATACTTCATATCTCCTACCCGGGGTACGAATTGGAACACTCCTTTGTGCCCCGGGCAGGAGTTTGCGTATAAGTCAGAGAGAACATCTGTTTTCGACGCCTCGGCAGTCTTGAAGGTACGGACCTGTTCATCTTATGGCTGCGCGTAGACGGCGACGACCATCCCCGCGTCTACGGGTGCCTCTATAGGTCCCATAGCGGTAATGCCGACCCAGACCGACTCATCGACCACGTCCAAATGGCTGCAGACTTCGTGCTACAATAGGTCCCATCCGCAGAGATCGTGATACTCGGTGATTTTAACGGCCTCCACGCTGAATGGTTTGGTTCTCGTTTAACCCATCATGCGGGTGGATCTGTTTATGACTTTGACTTGGCATATGGTCTTACACAACTGTTTACTTCGCCTACGCGGATCCCAGATGTGGAGGATCATGTACTTCCCTGTTGGACCTTCTGCTGACCTGTCATCCGGACGGATATCCAGGTATATCACACATACATACATACTAAAGCCTTTTCTGAAACCGGCTTGTTAGGGAAGCTGGAAGTCGTCCAATCTGCGTGCAAGACCATTTGTAACGACTCGGAAACGCACGTAGACGCGGCTCAGAAGGGAAATCGGTCTGTAGTTCTTCACACAACAGAGCGTTTTCTGCCTTTCTTAAAGAACAAGACCACCGAACTTCTGCTCCAAGCCTCCGGAGTAGTGCCACCATGGAAGAAGAAATTAGAAGAACTTCTGAAGGACTTCAATTAGGTGTGTTCATGTGGTTTTCCACCCGCTTTCAAAAGCTCCGCTGTAATTCGAACTTCCCTCGGGGCCTTGTCGTTTTTAAGATGCTGGAGGGCCATTCTAATCTAGCTTAGACTGACGTCCGGGATATCATCAGATTAGTGTCCGTTAACACTTGCTCTTGGATCGTTACTCACACTTGCGTGTGGTGCCAACGACGACATGTACAGCTTCTCGCTTAGAGTGACGTCCGGGATATCATCGGAATAGTGTCCGAATAACACTTGCTCTTGGATCGTTTACTCACTCTTGCGTGTGGCTCCAACATGTACAGCTGCCCGTAGAACCTCTCAATCTCACTCTAAATCTTAGGTGTCCCGGAAACGATGCTACCACATTCGGTCTTCAGCTTCGAAAGATGGCTGTTTCTGGCAGATAGAACTCTTGGAAAGACTCCTTCGTTTCTTCGATACGAGCTGTATTGAAGTTGCGTAAGTCCAGCCTTAACATTTGGAGGTCTGTCTGTTCATTTTCGTGTATGCTGTCATATCTACTGAAGACGGTAGCTTCATTTCCTGTCTACAGCGATGAGTGTAGGAAGTGATCGGAAAGTTTTTGGGTTCTTCTTCGATGGGTCCTGCAGAATTTAGCTCCGACTGCATGAACAGTTTCCACAAGCTTGTCATTCATATCGACCACTGTATTGTATGGGTGTTTTCAAGACACTCAAATGATTTTGTAACTCGAGCTGGAAGTTTTCGGGACTGGACTAGAGCACAAGGGGAACCACCAACTTAACGGTTAGGTTCATTGTGTCTCTCGCCATTCGCGTTCAAATCTCCCATTAACACCGTATAGTGCATGGCTCTAGAGATATCCTCATTCATTTCCTCCACCTCCTCATCGGGATGTGCCGAGAATGGTGCGTAAACCTGTATGACCTTCAAAGAATACCGTTCCGTGATTCTGAATAGAAGGTACGCAATCCTCGTCGACACATTCCAAATCTTTAAAACGTTGTTAACGACAGATCTTATTGGGATAAAGTAATCGAGCAGCATTTTTTCCGACTTCTGCAAACGGCACTCCCTACAGTTGGAGGTAGGTAGGCACCTTACCAGCACGAGAATGAAGCTTAAAAACTTTTTCGTGAATTCCCTTAATTGGTGGTCAGTTCTTAGAGTTATATGACCGGCCATTTGCCACTTCGTCGTCGAAACTCAGGGAAACAATCGAGACTCGTCAATCGTAATTACTGCATGATAACTCAAGACCTCACACTGCTTGACAAACCGTTTTATCATTACAAGACGTATAATTTTGTATAAATGTTACGGCGTCCTTCAAGCTGGAACTTTCCCCAACGATATCATAAATTTTATTATTTATTTATTTAACAGTTCATATACACACATAACTCGATAGGACAATGGTAAAAACATAATTATGTACAAAGGCACTGCTTATTCTATGATGAAATTTCTTCCAGCAGGCCTATTGAAAGATAGTTGAAGGAAATAGAGGTAGTCAAAGTGTGCACTTATATAAAATATACATATACAATATACAAATATTTGTATATATATATTATAAAAAATAATAAATAATTTGTATATATATATTATAATAACTATAATATATATATATATATATATATTATAAAAAATATAATTCAATATATATTTTTAATGTTACTTAAATGCATACCTACACATTACTATTTAATAATTATGGAGTGAATGGTAGTGCTCTTTAACAAGTCTTTTAAACATAGACACCGATTTAGCATCACGAATCCTAAAGAGAAGGGAATTCCACAATCGTACTGCGTTAACAGAAAAAGAATGAGAATAGAGCATGGTATTGAAAGACGGAAATCTTAACAATGTTCTAGTATTTGATCTACATGGTACATCTGGAGAATGAACAAAAGTAAAAGATTTTTTAGATATAGCGGAATAGTAGGATTATGTAGAATATTGAAAAGAATACAGAGGATACGAGTGTTTCTGCGAAGGCGGATTAGGAGCCATTAAAGCTGCTTGCGATAAACAGAAACGTGATAGAACTTCTTTAAGCCAAAAATGTATCGAATACATAAATTTTGCAAGCGCTCAAGTTTATTAATTTGCTCCTCTGTAGCATCCAGATAACAAACATCAGTGTATTTTAAAATTGGTAAGATAAGAGGCTGGACTATAGATATCTTAGTAGACAAGGGAAGAAAACTTTGAAGGCGTTTTAGAGAATGAAAGGCATGAAATATTTAACTACTTACATCCGTAATATGTGCGCCCCAAGTCAGATTGTTTTGATTCTTGGCAGTATCTGAGTAGGGAATAGTGGTACCATCGATTCGTAAAGTTTGGAGAGAGGAGAAATCAAGCAAGCCACGAGCGTATTTTTTGCCTATTATCAAGGCTTTGGATTTATTTGGGCTTATTGTGAGACCAAAAGATCTCGACCATTCGCTAATCTTATTTAAGTCATCATTCATAGCTTCAATCGCCAAGATAGCTTCAGATGCCACAAAATTACGATATAAATGCAAATTGTCTGCATAGATGTGGTAATTAGATCATATGACCTTAGTGGTAAAATTAATAAAAACGGCAAAAAGCAGAGGAGATAAGACTCCAACTTGAGGTACACCCGCAGTTACATCATATCATTGGGAGTATATTTCACCTGAACGAACACATTGAGAACGATCTCAAAATAGGAGTCAAACCATAGAATAACAGATCTAGACACATTAATCGACTTAAGGATACTTATAAGGATATCAAAATCGACAGAATTAAACGCACTGCTGAAATCGAGTAAGACAAGAACTGTTAAAAATCCATGGTCCATATTCCAACGAATATCGTCAGTAACTTTAAGAAGGGCAGTTGTTGTACTATGACCGGGTCTGAATCCAGATTACATAAGATGGACATAAAATATTGTTACTGTTGAGAAAGGCTGAGAATTGCTTGTGGACATTGTGTTCAAGAACTTTAGAAAGAAATGGCAAGATTGAAATAGGACGAAAGTAAGAGGGAGATGAAAGATTAGATATCTTAGGGATAGGGATAATGTGAGCTAATTTCCATGACCACGGAAAACAACAAAAAGATAAATAGAAATTAAAAATGTGAGTAAGAGCAGGTAGAAGAAAAGAAAGGATAGGCATTATCAAATTAGAGCATATGCAGTTATTTCCAGCAGCCGTAGATGATATAGCCAAAATTG